AATCTATACAAATGCTAAAATATGTAGAAAATTATAGGGCATGGAAATATGCTCCCTCTCTCTCTCTCTCTCTCTCTCTCTCTCTGTATATATATATATGTGTGTGTGTGTGTATATATATACATATATGTATATTTGATCCTTAACAAGGAGATTGTAAAGTATCATCAGTTTATGATTATATTTGTGAACATACATGTATAAATGTTTACAGTGTTAATTTCTGTACAGTGAGAATGTAAGTGATCTTTCTTCTTTATTGTTTCCTGGATTGTTTGTTTTATGTAAGTGGACATCTGCTATATTAATCAGAATAAAATCAATAACGTTTTAAATTAGAATTGGAAAGATCCCATAAGCAAAATATGAAGTCCCCACCCTTAGTTTTAATAAAGGAGTAGAAAAATCCCATCACAAATGTATTCCTGGCAGGTTTTGTGGGTTATTTTTTAATTTAAAATGAATCAGAGCAGTGAAAGACTTGATCTCAATGTATGACTTATTCTAAATTCTGAAAGTCGTCAATAATCCAGTCATGACTATTTGCTTTGACTGGAGAAGTTCCCAAACTTCTTTGTTCATGGTGTTTTACTTCTTTCCTAATTTTGCCTCGAAGTCAAACAATATCCCTGAGACTTTCATTTAAAAAGTGGTATTGGTCCCAACGATTTGATGAGTACTTATGTCCTAATAGCTGACTTAACCATTGCGGTGCAATCAGTCAAGGTTGTTTGCTAATTCGTACTCACAGAAATGAGGCTCTTAAACGGTAGCTCTAGCCATCTGATTGTTGCATGTTTAAAGGAAGATATTTTTGATTGTAAAACTGGGAAGAAGTAGGGAGATTTGTATCTCAGAAGGGCAAAATAATAATTGAAGATTGAGAGTTTTCTAAAGTGAACCCTCTAAGGAAAGGGAACTATAGTCTGCAGGAAACTTCTCTAGGATGTAGCCAAGCAGGGGGAAGGTTAAGGCGACCTTAGCCCATCAGGGTGGCTTGAGTGGACAGCAGAAGGTCCCCAGTGGTTTTTTCCATGCTGCCCTAGAAGTTTCCTCAGCTTTTCATTATGACTCTAAGACAGAAAGATATGCTAACACCTGGGGTCCAAAGGACTTAATAAGTATTCGTGTCCTAATAACTTAGAAACTCTTTGAAATAGTGATACAAATCTAGAGACCTATTGTATAGCTTGAGTACACTATATAACAAAACTTTACTCTATTTGAGACTCATGTTAAATGGGTAGATTTTAGCTGTTTTCATAAAGAATCCTGGCTATGACTACTTTATTAATATGTGACTGTAGTTTTCCTCTCCTATCCAGGAACTCTTATTGAATAGAATTCAGGTATATTCTTCCAAAACCACACAGTTCAGAGATTTTAGCTATTCTTACCACAAAAACAAACAAAAAAGTTTGGGTAGCTATGAT